TTTGACTGGGTTTTGTTGCTTTTTTTTTTCCCAGGGAATTCATTAACTCCTCACACTGCTGCCTTCCACCCGAAACACCTCTAATCCACCATCCCTCCTGATAGCTTTTCTCATAATAACCGTGCCCTCTTCGCTCAATGGCTTTTTGATCAGCAGCTTTTTGGGAGGAGTCCTCTAATTCTTTGATCCTTTTTATTCCAAGCCATTTTTTTAATGGCAAATTCTGTTTCACAGGCAATCTCTCGAGTCCAGCATCCTCTGTGTAACCCGGTGATACAGAGGAAGGTGGAAGGAATGCAGCTGAGGGATAAAACACCTTGTGATAAAGTCTCATCTACATACCTGTATTTGCAATCTGCATCATGCCACAAACCTTGAGCCTGTTACAGGGTAATCAAATACTTTTCAAGCTCATCTGCAGTACTTCTGTCTCAAACAAAACCACATCTGTGCATTAGAATTTAATGCCCAAATGCCAGTCAAGTCCACTGCAGTGTTGCCAAGAAGGCCAAGAACCTCCTAGCTTGTATCAGCAATAGAGTGGCCAATAGAACAAGATAAGTGATTGTCCCCCTGCACTGTGCAGTGGTGAGGCTGCACCTCAAATCCTGTGTTCCGTTCTGGGCCCCTCACTACAAGAGAGGCATTGAGGTGCTGGAGCTAGGCCAGAGAAGGGCAACGGAGCTGGTGCAGGGCCTGCAGCACAAGTGTGATGGGAAAGGGCTGAGGGATCTGGGGGGTTCACTGTGGAGAAGAGAAGGCTCAGGGGGGACCTGATGGCTCCCTACAAGTGCCTGAGAGGAGGATGGAGCCAGGAGGGGCTGGGCTCTGCTCCCAAGGAACAAGGGATGGGACAAGAGGAAACGGCCTCAAGCTGCACTAGGGCAGGTTTAGATGGAGCTGAGGAACAATTCCTTCCCCAAAGGGTGCTCAGGCATTGGAACAGGCTGCCCAGGGCAGGGCTGGAGTCAGTGTCCCTGGAATTATTGAAAAGACATATAGATATGGTATTTAAGGACGTGGTTTAGTGGTGGACTTGGCTGTGGTGGGCAATGGTTGGACTTGATGATCCTAAACGCCTTTTCCAACCTAAACAATTCTATGATTCTATGAGTTTTGCCACATCCATTAGTGGAGACAGAAACTATCATCCCAATAGCTGGGGAAAAAGGTGGCCTAGGATGAAAACGAGGTAACATTTACATCACAGAGGCAAATCTGGAGAATGTGCTGAGAATTTATCCCTAAGCTCTTAGTTATCAAGTTATTCATCTGTGCCTCTTTTCCCCTGTCTGTAAAACAGGATAATTGTACAAGCTTCTTACTAATTTTGAGACTCGGGTATGAATAATCTTGTTAAAAATCTACACAGCACACTAATTATTACTGCCATGACATAAGATGCACGTTCCATACCAGACCTTTAAATGGAAGCCTCAGTATTATAAGAAGCTTTTTCAAGAAAGTCTTCCTCAGCAACCCTGTTCTGTAGAATTGCATTTTAAAACTATTTCTGTTTTAATTTTTACAAAACTTGGGTTTAAAACATTAGCATTTCCCACAGAACTGAATTTTGACGCTTCAATTCAACCTAACAATAACACTTGCATTGCTCTGAGTGGAGGCATGAGGATAAGTAATCTAATAAATAAAATACTGTGTCATTCCAATGATAAGGGACAGATAATACTTTCAACAAACAGACTTTTATAACAGTATGGTGTTGCTGAATTCAGCTCTTCTCATGCTCCCAATGCACAGGGGCTCAGACTCAACCCACCTGGTTTTAAGCACTGAAATGAAGTATCTATATTATGGGTCTATTCAGCTTCCATCAATGAGTGATAAGTGCCTTACAGCAACAGTTCAGCTCATCGGTGGCCTGACTTGCCATCTGGAAGTACCAGTTTCTCATTAAGCTCCTTTCCAACCCTAACTATTCTATGATTCTATGATTACTGATTTCAGCAGGACTAGAGTAAATGTTGGTGGTAAGAGCCTACATTTGGCCAGGATGGGTGTGAACTTCTGTGTAGTTGAAACCATCACTTAGACATGAACCAACTGCTCTCCAACTAATGGTATAGCTGTGTGTTGAAAGCCACACAGACTTCTTATGGGCTGAAGTTGGTCTTGGTAACAGTTTGCGTTGGCTTCCTAGCAGATGGGTCATTAACGTGATTGATGCTGATATCACATCATCAGAGTTGACTTAGCTGCCCTATTAAAACTGATTGCGGGTCAGGGTGAGCCAGAAATAATTAGTGAGAGACACTGACTGTGTCAGAGGGGATTTATCCTTCTATCAGTTCAAAAGACATCATGGCTTTCGACTCTTCTGGCACTTTGGTTGAGTGGCAGCCAAACTGAAGGCTGGGCAAAGAATTTAAGGGCAATTAATAAAGTTAGATGAGCAAGCTGTAAAATATGTCCATATTTGCTTCTAGTTGATTTTCTCCTTCACTAGATTGGGCTGTGAAAAACTTGGGAAACCACTGTTAAATGGAAGTGTGACGTGCAAAAGGGCATATATAGGTAATGTCTTAAAAGAGCGACATGTCCATACTGCTTACCCAGGTGTGGTGTGATAAGCATGTGGACAGTGACTGGGGAAAATCAACCATAAAATCTTCCATAAAAACATATAAGGTGCTACCAGAAAAAAGGAATTCCCTGGAGTAATCTTTCCAAACCAGTCTGACACTGCAGTATTGGAGATTTTGGTGATGGAATGATAGATTTTCTTAGCTGAATGCATTTTATTAGAGCCCTGAAAAACCTGCAGGTATTACAGGAGTGTATTACAGTTCTGTCACCACATTACGTACCTGAGGCATCTGTTAAACTCAATCCAGAGCTATTACATTTTGCCAGTATTTGAATTTTGCTGTAATAAAATCAGGAAGAATTGCTAGTTTGACCTTTGGAGCACATTCATCTGTCATTAAAGGTGGATGGTCTTTCATACATAAAAGATATTCCATGGAAGCATATAAACCTAGAAATAACATTGGTGCACTGAATCTGGTGCTCTATTGGCAACTGCTACCATGCCTCCAAATCCTTATTTTACATAAATGAGTTTCCTCTATGACATAAAGTGTTTGCCTCTGTTTCTCAAATGGAAGGCTGTTGTAATCAACTGCAACCTCCTTCTAGGTTCTCGTTTGCATTTATGCATAGCTAATTTAGAGCTATGTTTTCTTCTACCAGTAATATCCTTTAGTTCAGATAGTTCTCATTCCTTGGCATGTCCTTCCCAAGTGTGTTTATAGACAGCAGTCAATTCATGCCCAGACATTTCTTTGTACAGCTGCATGAACTTGGCTCACATAGTCATCTCATTAGGTCAGAGAGGCTCACCTTCCCCTGAAAACCCTCATAGTCCTTCTTGCATTTGTTCTTTGTGAGCACTGGTGATTGGAGATGCACATGATGCACTTGAGACTTGAATGATGTAATTCATTCTTCATTTCCTAGTAGATATTAGTGACTACTTCCTAGGGCTGCATTTGTCACATGAGTATGGTTAACAGTGAGTAACTAGTGTGGAGTCATCTATCTTGGCACAAGTTATTCTAGACTCCCGTGACTAACCGGAAGTTACATCGATAAATTTAGTGATATTTAAAGTGTTATTTGTTCTTTTCAACTAGAAGAAGCCACCAGCATCTGGGTACATGACTCATGTTATTGACTTGGTCAATACAGGAAGTCAATCTTTATTTAGTAAAAAAAGGATTTTGGGGTGATTAGCCTGTGCTCACCTGTGTTGCAGACAGTGAATGTTAGATGAGAGAGATCTCACCCCGTTGAGTTTGATTAACATCCTCAGCACTTTCTTCTCCATCATTTCCAGCTGACATACTCCTTCACTAGATCACACCTTCTTGTTAATGGTCCTTGCATCTCATGCTGTTAAATTTCATCACATTTTGAATACTTCCAACATCAATGTCATTTGTTTCTCTCTTTATGATAGCTTGATCCTTCTTGCTAGGGAAAATGCTTTGTAAATTTGGTATTGAACTGAAGACTCTTCTGTTCTTTGCATCATAATGATTAATGGAAAAAGTAAGTAAATTCAATCCCAAAACTGGCGTTTGGGTGAATTTGCTAATAACCCTTTCCCACCCTGATGCTTCTCTGACAGCCTTATTTTAATTTGTGTCTTCACTCCCCCTTTACTTGCCTTTTCCACTACTTGTATTAGTCTTGATCACTTAGAAAAACATGGATAAGAGCAGCAAAGTGGAAGACTGCCCTTTCTGGGTAGAAATATTTGTTTGCACCTTCTTAAATTACTCAGCGAGCTAGACTGAAAAACTCAGACAAAGTTTACACTGTAGTTAAAATCACAGATCATTTTGGTTGGAAAAGACCTTTAAGATCGTTAAGTCCAACCATTAACCCATCACTGCCAAGACCCCCACTAAATCATGGCCCTAAGCACCACATCTACACACCATTTATATACCTCCAGAGAGGGTGATTCCATCCTGTTCCAATGCTTGATAACCCTTTTGGGGTTATTTGGCCTTTAATGGTCTGGAAAGCAGATGAAATGAGAATGTTCACAGAATAAAAGGTTATCTGAGACTGGAAGGGAACACCAGAGTTCTGCTCCACAATCTGCTCAAAGAGTGGCTGATCTTGAAGGTAGTTCCAACTTCATAATCAGATAATTTTGATCATGAGTCTAACGAATATTTAAATATTCTATAAGTATGGAGATGCACTGGTCTGGAGTGCCAGAGGGAGATCCTTTTGGAGGAAGGGCTTTTATAGACCCATGAAATAAGTATCCAAATTGAACATTTAGAATCATAGAATCATAGACTGGTTTGGGTGGAAAGGAGCTTAAGATCAGCCAGTTCTAACCCCCTGACACAGGCAGGGACACCTCACACTAGACCATGTCCCCCAGGGCTCTGTCCAGACGGCCCTTGAACACTGCCAGGGATGGAGCATTTACCACTTCTCTGGGCACCCTGTGCCAGGGCCTCACCACCCTCACAGTAAAGAACTTCTTCCTTATATCCAACTTGAACTTCCCCTGTTTCAGTTTGAACCCAGATTAGCTTCATGGTCTGAATAAAAGGCTTTATGTTCATATGAAGATGCTGCTTAAATGTTCCACTTATATTGCTTAAGATCTGAAGCACTGTGATTTCCTTCTCTCTGTGGCTGGATCCAAAATTGTCTGCAGTCAATAGAAGACTGTGTTGTAGTCAGCGAACCTGGATTTAGTCACGTTTACACATACTCTTCATTTTAAGGAAAGATATAATAAGGATGTCTGAAAAGAGGGTTAGTTCTGGGAGACACACAGCTCAGATATGGAAGATTGTGGAAAGGTTGTGAATTAGAGCAGAAACTTTTCTTTAAGCATATCATGATATAAGAATTATCATTTATCAATATGAATAATTTTTCCTTTTAAAAATCCTGAATTAAAATATAATATGTTTTTCTTTCCTCTGCTTTATTTACCTTTTTTTACCCCATTTTTTCTTCATTTTTTTCCTAGCTAAAAGCATGCAAACAGAAGATAGAAGAGAGAAAGAAGCAAAAATCACTTTGTAAGACTATTTTTAAACTGAAATTGCAAAACGAGGATTCTGTTTGACTTTTGAGTTTTTGAAGAAAAAGCAAACAAGAATAGCTTTAGGACATTCTAAGGAAAGCTGAACATTGGAGAATTGATGAATGTTTGATGCCTGGCAGTGTTCAAGGCCAGGTTGGATGGAGCTTGGAGCAAACGGGTCTAGTGTGAGGTATCCCTGCCCATGGCAGGGGGTTGGAACTGGATGAGCTTAAGGTCCTTTCCAACCCAAATCGTCCTATGATTCTATGATTCTCTAATGGCTCAGTTTTGAGCCTGTGCTCCCTCGATCTTTTGATCTTCCAGCTCAAGGACACAGTCCAAATGAGACAACTGGGAAAATATTGAACAAGGATAGGAGATACTTCAGAAGGAGCAAGCACAGGCTTCCATCTAATATATGGAATATACTTATTGTTTATTGGTTTGTTTATTTCTCTGATCTTCTTTTTAATTAGAATACCAATCGATTTTCCCTTGTCAGGAATAACCAGGCTCCAATCAGCAGAGTCTGGAATACAAAGCAGACTTCATTTTTTTTATCTGGAACCCATAACAATGTTAATATTAAAATGTCATCAGTCTTGCGGAGACACATAATGAGCATGAAATTAACATCTTTTTTTTTTGATCACCCTCCTTTTGTAGATCCAATTTAAATTACAAATGTTCCTGATAAAAATTGCACAGACTAATTCTGATATCACAGAAAATTATTTCCAGTTTGGTTAGGAAAAAAAGTACTCCAAGAGACAAAAAATATTGGAGAGGACTTTCAAACCAAGCTTGATGGGTCAGAAGCATTCCTTACCTACATGGTCCATCAAGAGGGGCAGTTTAAAAGAGTTAAATACTTCCTCTTATGAAATGGCTTCTTTCTTAGCAGCCTTCAAGTGTCTGAAAGGGGCCTACAAGGATGCCAGAGAGGGATTCTTCATCAGGGACTGTAGCGATAGCAGAAGGGGTGGCGGGTTCAAGCTGAAACAGGGGAAGTCCAGGTTGGAGATAAGGTGGTGAGACACTGGAATAGGGTGCCCAGAGAAATGGAAAATGCTCCATCCCTGGCAGTGTTCAAGGTGAGGCTAGACTGAACCTTCGGTGAGATGGTCTAGTGTGAGGTGTCCCTGCCCATGGCAGGGGGTTGGAACTGGATGATCTTAATGTCCTTTCCAACTCAAACCTTCCTATGATTCTGTGATTCTATGAAATGGCTTCTTTCTTCAGGGAGCAAATCAGATTGATTCAACTTTATCGATTACTTTTCTGAATATGCATATTCTGGAACAAGACAGCCTTGTTTCAAGTGAACTTAAAAATCCATTTCGAGGAGTCATTTGTCTTAAGACTTGTTTACTATGGAACAATAGCAGGCACAAAGTGTGTTAATTAAGAATGTTTTTTCTGCTTTAAATTAACGTCCTGACTCTATCTAAATGAACTTTGATGTGCAGATTCTCTGTGCTGTGAATGAACTTCTTTCTGTGCTTCCTAATGTAAAAGGAATCATTTCATATCAGCTTGATGAGTTTTCAAAAAGCCATAGCAACGGGGTTACTTGAGGTCTGTTATATTCAAAATGGTATTGTCATTATACAGAGATGAAGTAGTACTACTTTCATGTGGGTACAGTTATACCTCTAGAGAAGTACTTATGTCCGTAGAGATAATATCTGAAAAGCAGGGAGAAAATAGGAACAAGTGGCTAATAAACTGGTCCAAATGTTTTCCTAGAGTCTCTCTACAGTATGCATTGTGCATTAAAGAATGTCCAACTGTAACAGTTATACCTATAATTAAAATAGGTTTTAGATGTTCATTTCTTCCTAGCAGGGTCTGTCTTTTTATTAGCTGATCATATAAACTTATTTATGTATGCTTGTGTAGCACCCAGAACAATATGGTCACTGATTCATAGCTATCTACTGCAATAAATAAAACCTATTAAGAGACTTCAGAGTTGTAGTCCCAGATGATCTAAAGGATGCATCAGTTAATGGAAAATCTGGAGAGGTGGGATAATTTTCTTCTGCTTCATGTCCTTGGTGTGTTCCTCCTCCCTTGTAGGCTTCAGTTTGCTTTTAAAGGGAGACTAGAGATCTGGTTCAGGGTCACTTATGTTGGGATTTGTCTCATCTAGCTGCACTGGTTGATAGTGTGGGGGTTCTGTCTGACACTCCTTTTTCTTGGCAGCACAGAGTAAAATTTAGGAAAGCTTGTGGACACAGAAAAGAGCAGGAATAAGCATAAAGACTTGAACCTTTACTGAGCAAAGGAATCATCAGGTCACTTTTACACCATTGTCCCAGCTATTGGGCAGCAGAATTGATAGCACTGGAGAAAATGGACCAGAAAGAGACATCAGCACCTAACCTAGCAGAAAGGTAAGGCCAATAGATATCCCTTGAAAGCATCTGCCAGGTAAAGCAGCTCACTCCTGTCATTGAGTGGGTTGCCATCTTCAACCCACGCTACTGTGTCATGTCTTCTTGTCAGAGGATGATGTCTTCGTGCATTTGAAGTTCTTATTTAACCTGATTGCATCCCTCTGGATTTAAAAGGAAAACAGTGTTCTTGTCCTTGTTTTGCCTTGGAGATTCTCAGCAGAAAATAGATTTGGGGTTGTCTTCCACTGTAGCACAAGGAAAGGGAAATTCCCTGTGCAACTGTTTATAAGGTAATGTAGGCTTTGTCAATCCTGTCCCAAAGAGTTATTTATAATGGACTCCTGAAAAGATCAATTTTTGGCCTTTCACTATCGAATCTTTCTCCCCATTTAGTTACCAGGAATAAAATATAACCATCAAATTTTGCACATGTCACTAAGCTTGGGAGAGGCTAAGTAAGAAGGATGGGATTGTCAACATGGTGACACATGGATCATTTGGTAAACTGTGTTCAGACAAATAGTGCATATTTCAAAGAGGTCAAAATTCTTCATACATCTAAGAGCAAATAAAGCAGGTCAGTCATCCATCAGATGCTGGCTCCATCCTACAAATTAACATACAGAGTAGATTGATTCTTTATAGGGCTTATATAAAGCAGGAACTAAGAAAGACTCATGACAGATAATCAGCCAAATATAAGCTCCTACTTCAGCACAGGAGCCAAAAAGGGCTAATGTGGTTCCTTGAGGCGTAAACGTGGATCCTCAGTTTGGCTGAGGTTGTGTTAATTCTGTGTTTGTCATTGCTGAGATTATGGCCTGTGTTACAGTGGAAAGAAGCTGATAAAATTAGAGTAGGTTCAGAGTAAGGCTAAGAGAGTCATTAAAGGTTTGGGTTTGACTTAAAATAGAAAGAACAGAGAGAAGGTCAAGAAAGTGTTTGATCACAGTCTGTCAAAATTTACATCAGGAGCAGACTACTTAGCTCAGCCAACAAAGGTTCAACAGCATCTACCCAGAAACTGAAGCTAAAAAATCCAAAGAAATCAGATTCAAGTTTCTTTGTAATATTAAATGTAGTCTATGGATAAAATTTTTTCAGGGTTATTGAGCATAATTCGTTGTTGCCAATTTCTAAATCAGGACAGGAATCATCTTAGAACTGTGCGAGAATACAAACAAGTGTTGACTCCAGCAAATCTTCTGTGTATTAGACTGGCAGCAAAATATATGCGTTGGAGTAGAATGAACTTTGACTACTCTGGCAGAGAGCTTTTTCTATGTCCTGGAAATGCAGGAATAGATGCATGTCATGAATTTTTCAGACTTTTCTCTTCTGATCCCCAGAATAAAAGGAGAAAGAGGAATTTATCCACCGGATCAAGCAATTCCTGGATGACTTGGAGAACATTGTTAGAAAGGCAAAATAATGTTAAAAGTTAAGTGTCCTGCAGTGAAGAACACTTTATGATTTCTGATAGACTATTGCCATGTTTAGTTATCTAAACTGCTGAAAGATTACAACTTCCTACCTTCAGATCTTGATAGTAGGTGTCCATTTAAAATCATGCCCTGTCTACACCGATAGCAAAGACTGGAGCTTCTAAGCATAGTCCAAGGCATCTCTGATGCTGACCAGTCACCTCAAGGCTCTTTATTCAAGTGTGACGGTGCCAGAGGGAAGGTGCCACATGTCATTGTGAAACCATAGAATCACAGGATCATAGAATCATGTAATCATAGAATGGTTTGGGTTGGAAAGGACCTTAAGAGTTCCAACCCCCTGCCATGGGCAGGGACATCTCACACTAGACCATGTCACCCAAGGGTCTGTCCAACCTGGCCTTGAACGCTGCCAGAGATGGTATTTACCACTTCTCACTATCACATCCTGGCTGTTGTAAAAGTTGGTCTTGTAGTTTCGTATGGGTCCTTGGAAGCAGAAAAGAGCTGAAGGTGGGACTTCTCCATTTGCTAGAGGGCTGCTCCATGGACCATGCAAAAAACAGTGGGTAAGCTCGGAAAGATTTGCTCCAGTAACCTGATGGTTAGT